CCTGCCCCTTAATTGCATGTAATTAAAACCTGGTTTAAATCCAACTTCAGAGTCACCTCTGAGCCACTACTCTAGGTGCACGGCCTGTGAGGTAGCCTTGCTCTGCAAGGAGCAGGACCTCTGCTGCTGCTATGCACAGACGCTTCAGTAAAAGCTGCTAACACCACCAGCTTGCCCTTGAATTCTCCCTTGGGTAAAGCCAAGAACCCTCCCAGCCTAAGCCCTGATTTGGGGCTCCCTGCCCTGCACCACATCTACATTCTTGCTGACGTGACTTCTTGGCTCCTCTTAGCTGGAGACAGAGTTAACGTCCCTATCCCCTGAAACCAGGCAGACACTGAGATTTGCTTTGGCCAACAGAACTCAAGAAGTGCCTTTCTCCATTCAAGCCTGGGCCTCATGAGGTCTTCCGTGTCTCTGCCTCATTCATGGCCCAACTGTGCCCGGCCAGAAGCCCTATCTCACCTGATGGAGGAGGGGAGAGCAAGGAGCAAGGCGGCCACCCCAGCCCAACCAACCAAGACCCTCCAGTGGCCACACCCAGGTGCATGTGAGCCCCGGCAGGACCGGAAGAGCTGTTCAGTCCAGTTCAGTCAAGCTGAGAAGCTCCATGCAGCCAACCAGAGGTTTGGGAGCAATGATGGACTATGACCGCTTCAAGCCCCAGGCTTCAGGATGGTTTGTTATGCAGCCTTATTGGGACAGGGGATAATACATACACTTCTACAATTCTTGGAGTTCTACCTTGGCCCATAAGACTCTAACTTATTCCCAATCCAGGTTTCATTTTTTTCCTTCCCTGCCCCTCCCCATTCACTGACTGGCCCACCTTCTTCTCCTTGGACATGTCAGGCGTCCATGCACCCCAGGCCCTCTGCACTCCCCTCTGCCTGGGATGCTCCTCCCTGAACACTGACAGGGCTACTTCCTCCCTCTGCTCAACATATATGTCTCGGGAAGCCTCCTGGACCACTCTTTCAAAGTGCCACCATCAGCAGGAACTGATTTCCTGCTCCTCTACCCAGTTTATTTTTCTGCAAAGCACTGATCACTGCCTGACGTTATAGCACAGGCATTTGACTTTCCTTCATCGGGGAGTTGAATGTTGGGGTCTCTTTCGTTAATTGCTAGACCCTTGGTGCCTGCAACAGTGCCTGGTACATAGCGCTCAATGGACCCTTGTGAATGAATGACTAGTCATACAGTGAGCAACTTGTGGCCCAAGGATGCCACGTGTGTCTCACTATACAGATCTCTGTTTAGATGCGCTGATGTATCCCTTTCCCTTGATAGGGATGCTGGCAACAGGGAAATTCCCCAAAAGACAGGGTGGACATGCGGGCAGAGTCTCATTAGACCACCCCACTTGGTTCACCCTCCAGTGCTTTCCCATCTCTTGACATTTTAGATTCCACAGACCAGGAATGAATGGCTCAGGAATACTACATTTTCTCTTGTTCAAGTCCCATCAAGAAGAACTCAGCCGGACGCAGTGGCTCACGCCTGTAATCCTAGCACTTTGGGAGGCCGAGGCAGGCTGACCACTTGAGGTCAGGAGTTCAAAACCAGCCTGGCCAACATGGCAAAACCCCATCTCTACTAAAAATATACATACACACACAAAATAGCCGGGTGTGGTGGTGGGTGCCTGTAATCCCAGCTACTAGGGAGGCTGAGGCAGGAGAATCTCTTGAACCTGGGAGGTGGAGGTTGCAGTGAGTTGAGATCGCGCCATTGCACTCCATGCACTCCAGCCAGAACGACAGAGCAAGACTACATCTCAAAAAACAAAACAAAACAAAACTCTTCGTGGATTCTTCTTGTGTGTGGGGCAATCTAGCCTTAGCGTTCCTCCCCAACTCTCCTTGCTAATGTTGCAAGACAGGCTTGAAAACTCCATATGCCATTAGGCTCTTCTTCTCTAAAGAACTTCCAAAGAAAGAGACTTGGGAAAATTGCTATGAAAATGTTCCTGACAACAGTTTCTTCTGTATTTTTCTGCGTCCTCTAACATAACATTCCGAGTAAGAAAACCATGTCCAGCACGCCGTGCTTCGTTTTGCTGGGGAAGCAGTGAGCTCCCTTCCCCAAAGACGTGAGAATTACGCAATTGTTCATATTTTCTTTTCTGTCCAGCCTCCCTGGAAACTCGGGGCCAAATGAGAATCTTGGAGTAACTATGTTCACCCTCCAAGGCGGCATATTTCAGTTCTTTCTTCTCTTTATGCACACATTCTGCTTCCTTCCATATCACTTCATTATATTTAATGATTTTGGTAATTAGGACATATTCTTGGAAAGAAGCACAATAAAAACACATTCACAGATAATGAAGTCATCAATTATCATTTTTTTAAAATACGAAAATCAGGAGGGACTCAAATCAGGTTAAATATTCACTGCGTGATCCACGCTAGGGGCGCGTCTAGTCAGTTTCAGTATTATTCTTACATGATTGTTTCAGGAACATTCAGCCCCAATTTCAGCCTTATCTATTTCACTGAAAGCTTTTATATTTGGAAGGAAAACCACATCCCGTTCACAATTCAGTCAAACCCAGTGGTGGCTGTGATTTGGTGGCCCTTCAATCTGCTGTAGGAGACTGAATCTGCGCGTGGTAGAGGGTTTTACATCCCTGGCCTCCCCTTCCCCAGTCATATCAATCAAAAGTGTCCTCAGACATTGCCAAATGTCCCCTGGAGGGCAAGTTGGCCCCGCTGAGAACCATCTTTCATGGCTTTTTAATCCAGGCTCTTCCCCAGGCTGGCATTTCAGGGTCTTTGCTCTGTGCAGGCGAAGGAGAGGGGCTGTGAACCGGCCCTCAGGCACGCTTAGCTGGGAACCCTGCATCACCTGACGTTCTCCCAAGATGGGTCTCTGATCCGGTAGAATCCTCTTTGGCTTTCAGCAAATCAGGTTGACTGAAACTGTGCTGAGGTTCCAATTCCATTCACATTACTGACAACAAAAGAAAACACCACCAACCACTCAAAGGGCATGAGGTCAGAAAGGAGGGAAGATGCTGCCTCGCTGGCTCTGAAGGCGGAGCACGAGGCCCTCAGCAGCCCTTGCAGCTGGAAAGGCAAGGAATGAATTCTCCCCAAAGCTCAGAAAGGCACTCAGTCCTGCCAACACCAGATCATAGCCCTGTGAGGCTCATCTCAGGCTTCTGACCTCCAGAACTGTAACAGAATACATGTACGTCGCTTTAAGCCACCGAGACACTATGGGGTCACTTGCTACAGCAGCAATAAGAAACAGATACACAGTTTCTGAGCCTCAGTACCACTGACATGTGGGACCAGGTGATAATCTGCTGTAGGAGACTGAATCTGTGCGTGGTAGAGGGTTTTACATCCCTGGCCTCCCCTTCCCCAGTCATATCAATCAAAAGTGTCCTCCGACATTGCCGAATGTCCCCTGGAGGGCAAGCTGGCCCCGCTGAGAACCATCTTTCATGACTTTTTAATCCAGCAGACTCTCCGCTAAGCTCCTTCCTCCCAGGGATTCATGGCACACCCTCCATTAAATTCACTAAGCCCTGAATGTGTGTCCCAGGCGCTAAAGGCAGAGGGTTGGATAAGTCACGGTGTGTGCCCTCAGAAAACTCACAGTCAGTCATCGAGGCAGCTGCTTAAAGAATTGTGTGGTGGCACCTCCTCTCTTGAGGGTTTGGCACCTCCTCTCTTGAGGGCCACGTTCTGAAGCCAGGGAGAAGCAGGGCAGTCACCTTGCTGAGAACTGCAGGACCAGCTTGGTCCACATTCAGGGCTGGCAGTCAGAGAACAGGCCATCTTTTCTTTTTCTCATTGAGATGGAATCTTTCTTTTCTCATTGAGATGGAATGCACATGCCATAAAGGTCATCATTTTGGTGTGCAATGCCATGGTTTTGGCACATTCACAAAGTTCAGCAGCCATTATTACCATCTAACTCAAGAACATTTTCACCACTCCAAAAAGAACCTCATACCCCTTAGCGGTCACTCCTCATCCCCATCCCCCCACTCCCTCCACTCCCCCCACCACCATCCCTGGAGGGGTCACTCCTCATCCCCATCCCCCTCCACTCCCCCCACCACCATCCCTGGAGGGGTCACTCCTCATCCCCATCCCCCCACTCCCTCCATTCCCCCACCACCATCCCTGGAGGGGTCACTCCTCATCCCCATCCCCCCACCCTGTCCACTCCCCCACCACCATCCCTGGCAATTACTCAGATGCTCCCCTCAGAGTTCCAAAAGCTTCCCCAAAGAGGCTACAGATGGAGGTAAAATCACTTCTCGATTTAAAGAGTATTTGCGGATGCAGCCTAATCCTGTTTTCTGTAATTGTGAAATGCAAATGACCCTGGTAATATATGTACTGATCATAGAACTGGAGATGACTTTTTTTTTATTTTTGTAAAAAAAAATGTTTCCCAGAATGAGAATCCAATCAAATTTTAACACTTGGTGAAAAAATTCATTCAGTTTAACTCAGTGGCATCAATAGCAAATCAACCCACTGGCTAAATATTGAAGGAGATCTCAGCTCATCAGGAATGCGTGAGGAGCATCCAGTTATCTGTACCTCGATAGAGCAAATGTTCTGGTTTAGCTATCCTCTTTGTAACAAAGGTCATTAAACGTCCGAGCAGCAGCTTAAAATTCCTGAAGTTTGAAACCCACTGTAGCCACCTCTGGTCTTTAACATAAGCAGACTCCATTTCCATTCAGGAGCAGAGTGCCCGCCACTGCACAGCTCAGCTGTGTTTAACATCCTAAGAAATGGAAATGCATAATTGGCTTTATGGGATTGCTTCCAGAAACACTGGAATTTTGTTATTTATTGCTTTTTATACCACAAAAAGGGGGAAAGCAGCCCCAACATCTCTGAATGTGGATGATGGCCTCCAAAGGAGCTTGACGTAGCTTCTGCTCGGGGGTCCTGTAGCCCCTCTTTCCTCACACCGACCTCACAAAGAGCAGAAGTGGTCCCAAATGCAGAAAGCCAGCCTACCTTCAGGACCTGTTCTAGGTTCTCCAGCTTGGCTTGGAGCTGGTGTTTCTCCTTCAAGGCCAAATCGCGCTCTCTGGTCAAGAGGGTGAGTGGGTGGTTGAGATGCACATACTCTGCCTTCACCTGCAAGCGGAAGGAATGGAGACAAGGAGGTTATCACAACCTGCCTAAGAGCTGGAGCAAGCATCTGCCTCCAGCTGGTATCCATTGCTTCCTCTTTAGGAGGAAAATCTTCAATTTCCTCTTAGAGGATTCTTCCCTTCCTCCTTCTCCATCATGGACTGGGTCCACTCCTACTAGGGGCCACTACACATGACCAAGGGCTGACCAATCAGCAGACTATCTCCGTCTTCCTCCTGCCCACCTCCACCACAGCCTCAGTGATTGGGTCAGGGTTGCAAATGTGCCACATGCCTGGCCAATCAGTGTAATCTCATCTCCTGGATGTAGTGATTGGTTGGGGAAGTCACATGACCCAATTGCATTCTGGGGGAATGAGATCCTGTACTAGTATAGGAACGTGGAAGAACTCTCCCTTTTGCCCACTGGACTTGGAAAGTTAAAGACAAAAAGCTGGAACTACTGTGGCCTTTGTCATCACGAGGGAAGAACCCATCTGAGAACAGAGCCAATGAGATAAATGCAGAGATGCAGAGGGAAAAGCAGAATCCCCATGGCATCATTTGAGCACCCAGATCAAGCTGAGCCTGAAGCTAATTATCTTTTCCTTTTCAGTCACTTGGACCAATAGATTCTCCTTGTTTGCTTACACCAATTTGAGTCGTCTGTCCCCTGTAACTATGAGAGCCCTAACAGATACAAGTGTTTTCCCACTGTCTAAGCATATTTATTCTTGTCTAAAAATTTTACCTCATCTTAAAAGTGAATAAAAATGTCAATGAAATTCCACATGAACTAGAATGCATTCCCCCAATAAATCCAAAAAAACACATAAATTCCATTCTTAGGCCACAACCCCCAGGGCCAAGCTACAAGCTTATTGGGAAGGGAGGCGCCACGTTCAGTCTCTCTCCTCTTCGAAACAGGTCAGGGGATGCTATCAATGAAAGAAATCACCAAGGTTCCTTTCCCATTCATTTTCATTGTGGAGGCAACATATTTTAACCCAACAGCAGCCTTGTCATTTCTTTTTCTCCTCCCCAAGTCTCATGATGTGAATTATGGCTTCAATAACAGACTAACACAATGCCACGCTTGTCAGCTGCAGAAGTCCTTTCTATTTCAAATACTCTCTGTACTGAGTGTTAGTTTAACCTGACAACTTCTGGGGCACCAGAAGAAAGGCAGGCACCCACTTGGCATTCCCGAATGGGAACAGGGTTACAGGAAAGCTGTTATTAAGAGGTCGTACAGAGGTCTCATTCGAAGGAACATTTTAATGCCATTTTGCCGCAACGTGATGTTATCAGGCAATGAACTTAGAGAAATAATCCAAATGCCCCCGGTGAAAATGTCACGACCTATTTGAATTAAACCATCCTCACTTCTGAACCTCGATACCCCGGGGTGCAGGTTTGCAGAAAGCATCACTTCTTGTATCCTAGCTGTTCAAGAACATTAGAACTTGGGAGTCATGCTTGAATGCTCCTAAATTCAGTCTCACACAGCGACCAGCACCAGCTTTCTGAAATACCTGCCAGATCTTGCCTCTCCCTGCTTGAAACCTTCTAAGTTTCCACAGAATTTAGAATAAAATCCAAACTCCTTGGTGGTCTAAAAGCCCCACCCACCTGCTACCCTGTTGCCACCATGCTGGGAACACCCTGGCCTCCTTCTGTCCCTTAAACAGGTCGAGCTTCTTTCCACCCCGGAACCCTTGCACCTGCTGATTCTGTTGCCTGCAGATCTCTACCCCGCCCTGCCCCAGTCTGCTCAGGTCTGGCTCCTTCTCATTCGGTGTAACCTCAGACAGGCCTTCCCAACCCTTGCAAGGTGATGAAACCCTTGTCTCCACCCCCCGCCTCCATGTCCCTCCCTCCCACACCGCCATGCTTCGGTGTCCACATGTGTTCGGTACTGTCCTCTGCGGCTGTTTGCCTTCTTCCTGTGGCTGCTCCTCATTGGAACAGAAGTGTCACCAGACAGAAGTTTTCTTCTGCCACGCAATTTCCCATCGTCAGAGCCCAGAGGACCGCCTGGCAGGGAGTCAGTGGTCAAGCAAGATTTTTGTACTGAGTGGAATGGTGTTGAGGAAAGTTCCAAGAATGGAAAGGTGGCCCTGGCTCCTGGGTGGATTACTGCGGTTAGCCCTCCCAGACCCAGGCCCCACCATCATCCATCCCTCTTTGTGTCCCAAGAGGCTCATCCTCACAGCCTGCACCCCCCGTACCATCCCGGCTTCTAATCAGCTTGCCCAGTGGAAGACATGATGGAGAAACTATGGATCAGCATGACCCCTGGCCCCTGGCCCTCCCCAGCAGCCTGCAGGGGTTACTCTGAGTTACTCCCCTGAGAAAGACCGCTGGTGAGCCTGGCCCTTGGCTGGAGGCCTGGGAACTGGGATCTGGGGAGAATTCCTACATTCCCTCATCGATTAGGGCGGCTTCCCGCATCGAGGCCACTTGAACAAGACGGTTTGTGCTGAACACCTTTCCGTCTGGGAGTCTGGAATTGTGGTATGTGCTGGACAGAGACAGCCCATGTGACCAGGTCCCCATAAAAACTCTGGTTGCTGAGTCTTTAATGGGCTTCCCTGATAGATGACATTTCACACACATCACAGCTTGCAGCTGTGGGTCCACTAAGCATCCTGTGTGATTCTTGGGAATCCTCTTGGGAGATGACCTGGAGGGCCTGTACCTGGTCTCCCCCTGGCTTCATCCTGTGTGGCCCTCTCCCTTTGCCACCCGTGCTGTGTGTCCTTTTGCTGTAATAAGTCACAGCCCTGAGGGCGGCTGCACACTGAGCCCTGCAAGTCCTCCCACTGGGTTGTGGAACTGGGGTAACCCCCAACAGTGTCCTTCTATGGGGGAGGGCCTCTCCCACACCCTTCTCCCCATACCCATAGCAGGTGGCCACGGTGCCCAGCCTCTGCTGGTCTCAGACTCCCAACCCCCTTTGCAGGTGTCCTGCCCCCCCACCCCCCGGCCCCTGCAACACCACCCACACCTTTGCTAGCACTTTATTTTCTAAACTCTGCTCCACCCTCCAGTTTGCAAATGCTGTCTATTTGCTTTTGCGACCCTGATGGGTAAAATCTCCAAAGAAAAAGAATATTAACAGCCCAGAAACAACATGATGACTCAGAGGCTCCCTACATAAGGAGTTTCTAGTTTGGAGAGGAATCGATTCAGACTCATGCTTCACAGAGAAGCCAACGTGGGTTTCAGGCTCCATGTGCAGAGCCCAGCATGAAGATGCATTTATTATCCAGCTTTTTACAAGAGCACTGGACAGTCAGGAATTGCCCTCTAGGGGGCAGCATTCAGTGCTTTGGTCAAGAACAGACAACCTCCAACCTACGACAGGCCACCGTTCCAGTGTGAACCTGGAAAGAAATTACCGAGCACCGGTACACATTCTCCCATGGGCACGTCACAAACGGTGGCCAGAAGCTAGAGTCCAGCTGGCCCCTAAATCCTATTTGTCCCACAATAGAGCTAAAAGGGAGCTAAATTTAACACAGTAGAGCGGAAACACGGTGTTTCTGCAGTGGACAATATGGTGGTAATTGCAGTGACTTAACAGAAGGCAATAATGTTAAGGGAACAAATGGATCCGTTGGTCTTGAGGTGATGCTCATAAGCAAAGTAAAAGAAAAGAAGTTCTCAGAGGAAGGTGAAGAGTCCAGGCAGAGTCTACGGAGGACCTCGGGGGCAAGTCAATGACATTTACTCTTTTTTTTTTTTTTTTGAGATGGAGTCTCGCTCTGTTGCCCAGGCTGGAGTGCAGTGACGCAATCTCAGCTCACTGCAACCTCCACCTCCTGAGTTCAAGGGATTCTCGTGCCTCAGCCTCCCAAATAACTGGGGTTACAGGTGCACACCACCATGCCTGGCTAATTTTTGCATTTTTAGTAGAGACAAGGTTTTGTCATGTTGGCCAGGCTGGTCTTGAACTCCTGACCTCAAGTGATCTGCCCACCTCGGCCTCCTGAAGTGCTGGAATTACAGATGTGAGCCACCATGCCCAGCCGATATTTACTCTTTTGTGGACCTCATCTCATGCCACAATTATGGTTTTGCATTTCTTTGACTTAAAATTCCCCATAGTGTCATCTTTTTGTTTACCAGAATGATGAAGGCCACGGCTCTGGTTCACAACAAGAAGGAGAGGGTGTGTGGACAAGGAGAGGGTGTGTGGACAAGGAGGGGGTGTGTGGACAAGGAGGGGGTGTGTGGACAAGGAGGGGGGAGGGAGAAACAAAGAGACTGATTTCCTGGATGTATAATGCCTGAGTAACGGCCCCACATGAAGATGCCCACATCCAAATTCCTAAAGTCTGTGAATATATCACTTTTCGTGGCCGAACAGACCCTGAGGATGGGATTGTGTGGAGGGTCCTGAGAGTGGGAGAGCACGGGGTTATCCAGATGGGCTCTATGTAATCACAGAGCCCTCATCAGGAAAAGTAGAGTCAGAGACGAAAAAGAGAGAGCTCGGACAACGCTCTGCTGTCAGCTTTGAAGATCAGGGAAGGCAGCCAAAGTAAGGCAAGAGGAGAGACTCTACCCCAGAGCCTCAGGAAAGCACACAGGCCTGCTGCCACCTTGACTTCAGGACTTAAGACGTGCAGAGCGCTGAGACACGATGGAGTGTTTGTGGGAATCTGTCGCAGCAGCAATAAGACAACTGCTGCGGAGGTCAGCTAGACGGCGGTCCTCATCACCGCAAGCACGCGTTGAATTGTCACTCTGCGCCAGCAACTGGCATCTGTCCCTGGAAAGCCTAAGCCCCAGTGAGCTGGGCCCCACCCCTCCGTATCCCCCAAGTCAAGGTTTGTCACCTCCTCTCCTGGTGCAGCCCCCGGGGCTTCAGTCGCCCCGCTGGCTCCTCTAACCCTGCCTGCACCTCCCTAAGAATGCTTATACTTAGCAACCGTCCTCAATTGCTTTCGGGGGATGTGCCATATCTCACCTGCTGGGACCAGACTGAAACCGTCT